ACTGATTCAAAAAGATACCTGTACCCCCATGTTTATTGCTGCTATATTCGCAATTGGAAAGACATGGAAACAGCCCAAATGCCCAAAAGTGGATGACTGGATTAAAAAGATGTGGTACATATATACAATGGAATATTACTCAGCAACCAAGAAAAACAAACACAGGCCTTTTGCAGCAACATGGATGGAGCTGGAAATGATCATGCTTAGTGATATAAGCCAGGAAGAAAAGGAAAAATACCAGATAGTTTCTTTCATAGCAGGAATATAATGGGCCAGGCAAGAAAATAATGACAATGATGAACAGCTATATACCAGAGACATTTTGTGGGGGTAGAGTGGGGAATGGGATCAAAAACAGTGGGGGGAGGGAAATGCACTGGACTATGGTGATGGCACACGAGTGATTTGGTTATGGAAAGTCCAAGGGGATTGCAACTGAGATGGAAACATGCACAAAATGATGTAAAAATAAACAATTATATTATTTAAAAAAAGAGACTGAATCAGAAGTTTAAAAGTCATATATTGGTTACTACACAATAAACTGATTTTTTAAAATTAATGTGTGTTAAACAGGGAACAATGAAACACTATAATAACTGGTTGGAATGACAGAAAGGAAAAGAAATTTAAGCCATATGTTACATGATACTTTGAAGTAAGTTCCACATTTTTCAAAGAATTAACGCAAAAATTTCACTATAAAAAAGAACCAATGTGGAAAAAGAAAACTGTAGCAAAACCAAATCAAAACTATTCTGAGAACAAAAATTCCCAACCCTTGGTTATTAAATTTTAGTTGCCTAGCAACTATTAAACAATAACAAAACAGAAAAATGAGAAATAGCTGATGAGAAACTTACCATTTTAACACTTCCTTAACAAACACATATTCTGTTTTGTAAATATCACCTTACTTAATTCTTAGAAAATCCTCTGAGGCAGTTTTCATTTTCTCAATTTACCCATGAAAGAAATCAGGACACAGGGCCACCATGGGTGACAAAAACCAGAAGTGGGATTTAGACTGCCTCTGTTCTTTGCCTTACAAAGTTGATTTGGATGGCACTAAGTGACTAAAGAATAAGCAATCTGCATGTGAGTAACCATAAGAAGATTTTGAGGGCCTCCCTAGTGCTGCAGGGGCTTACAGAGCAGCACTATGAAGCTATCCTAGGCCACTGCAGCATGAGTTCAATCCCCCAGCCAGGAAGCTGATTTCATGGCGAGGCAGACCTCTCCTGTCCTACCCGCTGCTCCCCTCAGCAGTGTACTTCAATAATCTGCTTGTTCTGTTTCCCACTCTCCCTCTGGTGAATCCTCTCACCCCTGCACCTCTGGCCTGTGCCCCAATTCTTGCATGCATAAATAAATATTTAAGTAAATAAATTAGCACTTCCTGCAGCCAGGCCTCCCCCTACTGGGCAGGGACTTGGCCTTGCACATTATCATTTTAAAAAATAAAAAGAAGAAGCAGCTTTTGATTGCAATTCAAGGGGTGCAAACCACTTACCATACAACATGCTTTAAAGCAACAAGCAAGAAGTTACTTTTTTGGGGTGCTCACTATATATTATTTATTTATTGAAATTTTATTCAA